CCTGGTATATGTAGATAGACATAGACAGTTGTTCAGTTGCACTCATAAATTGCAGTTGGTTCAGGCAAACAGTACTTGGGTTTTGTGCTGAACTAAATCTGGCCCTTCATAACTTTTTGAATGAGACTGTTGTTTTTCAGCAATGTACATACTTTTTGGTTTTGCCTAGAGCTAAAAAAAGTCAAGCCAGAAGTGTTGCGGTGGAGAACCTAATAGGCAAAGAACAGAAATTGCCAAGAAGCCCACTGGTCTAGAATTACTTCTAGGATTGGCAGTTCACAACATGATGAGGCTTTTGTTGTCAAAAATAATTTCTTCACAGTTCTGTTCTGAAGTCATTGGGTTGACTATTTACATCTCTCTTACATGCTACCCCAGGAATTGATATTTGGGGGCAGAGGATGAGGATGGATCTGTATAACAGTTGTATTTGCTGGTTCTACTTACCAATAAATAAACTGGTTTCTGACAGCTCCTAATAAGTGTAACTGCAGTGCTCTCTAGTGGTTAGTAGCAGTGCATTATTTTTTGCGGTTTTTAAACGAGAAGTACTTTACCACTGGCTCACCTCAGTAGTACTTATGTTATACGTATCTTGATATTAATAGTGAAGTTTTTCTCTTCAGGATTTCTAGGACCTAAAGAAGTTATTATAAATTTACAGAAGCAATGATTTGAATCAGGGAACAATGAGGTGTTGAAAATTCAACCTCAATAACGTTAATTAACAAACAGTAAAATTTGACATCATCCTTTTTATTTTAAAAAGCATGAAAACAGTACAAAGAGAAGAATGAGGAAATAAGTAATAAGCATCAGTTTGACCATAGAAAATAACCTGATTCTATATTCTCTATCAGCTGTACAGTAAGTAGGACTAATGATTCTCTTAAGTAATGTAACTAGTTTTACTAAGTAGTCATAGGACAGAAGCAAGCGAGAACACGTAACATTCAGAAGACCTTAATAATGCTTAAAGGCAAAACAGAATATACAGAGTAACCCCCTTAACCTAGTACAAAAATACTGTGCCCAGAAACTATGTATTTGTTCAAACATTTTTAAAAGATAAAAGAATACAAATGGACAAATTCAGTGGCTAGTGACTGTGATTAAGATTTTTATTAAACTATAATAGAAATGTATATTAAAACTATTTACAGTGCATTTCACACTACATTCTTTAAGAGACACACGCAGGTGTCTGCCATGTGAATACATAGAGGGCTCAAATTCTAACTTCAGTTACATCTGTAAGGTACCTTGGGCATCAGCAGGCATAGCTGAATACGGAATAGCTGAATACAACGAAGAGCAGGTGAGGCAGGTGTTACCAAGGGTAAGAGTTTGGTCCCTCTTTATAGGTAAAAAGGGTGGATTTGACCCATTCTTTCACTTTCTATACAGCTCAATCCAACTCCCACTGAGGTAAATGGGAATCCTGTAATTGATTTCAAATGGGCATTTGAGCATGCCTTAGGCCCTAGCATGACAAGCTCATGCTGTGAAAGTTAGTGGAAACTAGCTATTATATAGCATTGTCACATAAATATACATTTACAAACAGTGGTACTTAGATATGAGTTTCTCTATGGAAACAAACTTCTTTATGTGGAAAATACACCTTCCCATGCAATTTCTATTCATCTAGCCATGACAAAGATAAAATATCTTGCTGTCACAATTTGCTGTATTTAGCAAGTGTCACTAATTACCAGGCCAGATTCTGTGATGTTTCTTGTTCCTGTAAAAGTCCAAACCAAAAAATCCAGCCCTCATTATTTATCATACTCTGGCCAAACTAATTTTTTTATTCAAGATCCAATGTTCAAGCTTATCTTTCAAATTAGTGCAAGTCCCTCAAGAAGTACAGCAGGGAACTGTGAAATAAAGCTGAAACCTTGTGGAATGTAAACTGCATGTGATTTGATATGAAAAAGAAACTACAGCATCACAAGAGACAAGACTCCTAACTAAAGCTAATGTATAAATTTGCCTGAAATACAAGGTCTCTATAAAACCTTTAAAAATGTATGAATTTATTATGAGTGAGGCATTTTTTCCATCCAAACTCTCTGCTCTCTTCTCATGCATAACTGCGAGGGGCAACAATCAGATCACTCAGGCAACATCCCCTGATTTGAAGCGGCTAGACCTGATTCTTCATAATCTTTCTATATAATGGGCTGTAAAATCAGTTACCTCGTAATTTTGAAAAATCTTATATATGAATTAGACCGTATTGTGATTTTGTCAGTTTATGCCACTCCCAGATAAAATGCATTGGAGTGGAGTTCAAAAGTTTATCTTTACATGCACACAGTCGTCAGAGGGTGATGAATAAAATCAGCCCTCAGTCCTCTCTAAACTCCATTAAGTCTCCTAAACTCCATTTCAGCTTGTTTCTTGTATAATCCACACTGATTGCTTTAGCTAGACAATAGAAGTTGGAGAGAATATGTTTGAGATCCGACTAAAATAATTAGATACACAACTCATGAAATCAATGGCAGCTGAATGGCTGTGATCCACTAGCTGGATTAGAAAATGTTGAATCCTGAAGGCAATGAATTTCAGGCAGAAAACAGCCTTTTTTCATATTGTCACCTATCTACATTATGGAAGGAATGAGCAATTTCTGCAAACAGTTCACACAAAGCTATGACACAAAACCAGCACACTCTGACTTTGTCTTCAGGCAGAGTAAAACACTATATAAACAATTCGATTGCTCTCTGAAATTTCATTAAGTACAGCAATCTGTGCTTTCAAGGTTCTTAAACCAGTAGTTTAAAGTGTTTGGTTTTGTAGAAATATGTACAGATACAGGTGTATTACAACATTTAAATGGTTTATTTACTAGGAACTGTATTTCTATGTACGTTCCAATATTTGTAGTGGAAGAGATTCTGCGGGATAAATGTGTACAGATATGTAATTAAATATATGAACATACTGTAGAACTGTGTTCATTTTAAGTGAACTTTGAAAAAATGCAACATCATGTCCATATTTTTCAAGTCAGAGGTATGAATCCAGCGCTCCTTTGTAGTAGTTATAAATTTATGCCATAATAAAGCTTTGCTGAATACACAATATAGCAAAGACATACTGGGATCTTAATGTAAATGATACGTCACTACACTGTAATATCACCATAGTTGATTTGCTGTGTTGTCACCATGAATTACTAGTCTCAACCATACTAGAAGGAATACACCTCTATATACATACACTTTATTCATATTTATATTAAATATGTATCTCATCAGTTAGCGTAATAATTATATTTCAGTATCTCAAGCGTTCAAGGAAAAGAATATACAAGGACTATGCAAATCCTGAAGCAAAGTTTCCTATTTATCAAAAAGTACCTAAAAACATTTTTTTTGGGGGGGTATATTGCGGGGGCAAGCTGCGGTCATTTTTCTGCATAGCTATGACATACTACATATATATATTGTACTGTGTATGCATATAAATACACATATGGAGCACTGCATAACAGTAGCCCTAGAATTCTTAATTATTGTTGAACTCCATACTTTTGAAAATCCGGAAAAAAAATCAGGAAAAATACTTTTGTAGAAAAACGTTTTCAAATTCAGCTGCAATAATATATAATTAGTAGTCATTGGAGAAGTTTGAGATAGGATTTAATCAGTGCCAAATAACTTAGGTTGGCCGAAATGCTGCAGACTGTCAGAATACCTTATGCTACCTTTTAAAAAAATTGACTATGAAACTTACTGTTGTCCAACATTTTGAAACATTTGCTTCATCTTTTTTTAGCTTCCAGTATAGTTTATCTAAATGCAGAGACTGATAAAAAAAGGCTGTCTTTCTGACCAGCTCTTACAAGGAGGGATTGATAATTTCCTGGGAAGAAGAATTTATTGCAGTTTCCAACTAGAATTTTCTGGATTACTGTGATTGATAGAAATAAACTCCCACACTTCAAAGTACAATCCCAAATGTATTACTTTTGCCTAATACTATTGCTGATTTTAACTGAAAAATCATTACTCCATATTAAAAAAAAATAACATTTTCTGTGTCTCTGTGCAGCTGAAGTTACACCTACTGCTAAACAATCTTAGATTGCTGACATTAATCTCCTAATCCTGCCTACCCAAAGAATAGTACTCTCTTGTATTACTCTTTTGGGATTTGTCTAACGTGTATATTTTCTTGAATTGGTTCCCAATTCAAAACAATTTTTATTAGTCATCTTCATTAAATAAAATATCAATGTTGCTTTTTTTACTAGTGCAAGTTAATTGATTTCTTTCTTTTCTGAACATTAACGCCTCATATACAAATGGCAAATCCCTGTAGCATTCTCAGCTATTTTTGCTTTCGGTATTCTTTTTTCCTATTCCTTTAAGACATTGTGATTAATCATTGTTAACATTAACTAATGCTAAAAATTATTTTTAAAAGATGTTAACATAAAACTTTCTTCAAAGTGGTCATAGCCATTTCATGATAGCACTGGCCTAAAGAATCAGTCATTGATAGTCACCAGAAGTGTGCCACTCCTGCATCGTTCTGATTCAGTTTTTCATCTCTTGCTCTTGCAGTCACATTCCCTTCTACTCTTCCTGTCCATCGTTTGGTCCGTTGGTTATGATGATGTTAAATTCAGCTTCCAAATGAAGTTAAAACCAGCATATAAAAATGGTGCTGTTCAGTTTCCATTTCTCTGTGTGCTTCTTGCAGCTTTCTATGGGAGCCGTTCTTCCATGGCAGCCTGTCAGTTACGTTGTGACATTACATCAATCTTCAAGTAGTTTCCATTATTCATGGATAATTATGACGCTTCTACCACAAAACTCCTAAGACCCCTATTGCCTAGTAATTCACAGGGTTTTTAAAAATTTCTCCAAATGTAAGACATTTGCTAAGACATTGCTCTAATATGAAAAAAAACTACTGGGTGCACAGATTCTGGGGCTTTTTCACTTTGAAGCCCAGTTCTGTCTTCTGAAAGAGGTTAGCATAGTATATGCTGGATAAGGCTCCCCAGAGTTAGTCCCAATCTTTCCTCTGAACTTCTGGGAAGAGAACAGGCAAGACTGCTCATTACTTTTATAACACAGCAAGATTGGAAGAGGAAAGAAGGTGTGTAATGCAGTAGTCTTTAAGATACTGGCCACAACATGATCACTAAACAACTATATACATCTATGAAGTAATAGCCTCTCGGGGACAGTCAAGTAACTGCACTCGTACCTTCTTGTGGAACAGGGTAGCAAAAACTACCCTTGCAGATCTTTTTCCATCTCAGTCAGATGTAATAAAAGAAACATACTATCTTTAGATAACCTTGGCATATACATGGTCATGCTATATCCTGAAATGTGGGAAAATAATACAGCAGTGGCAAAATACAAGCCAAATTCATACAGTGTTTAGCAAAATGCAGTACTCCCCTATTACTATGTCTTCTATGTGAACTTAAGCTTGTGGTTGTTAAATCAGCATCTCAGTTCCGTTTGGCTTGATTGCTTTCTCCATTAATCAGATTCTTCTCTTGTTGTTCAGCTAAGGATTGCCATTTCTGCCTATTTTTTCTACAGCCATCCAGTAAAGGGTAGCAGGCCTCTGACACATGCGTTAGGGCCTGAAATAAATTAAGAACATGTAAAACAGATTACATTTACAACAAAATAAGTGTTCTTAAAGATGACCATGAAAGCAACCAGAATGATTGAAATATGAGGTTTATCTATAATTGATACTGAACTTGTATTTTGAACTTCAAGGAAGGCCTGCTGCTGCACATCAAACATGAACACAATTACCTGGCACTAGTGCAGATTAGACTGAGCCGCGGTGTCCATACAGCACTTGATACATAGGTGCAGAAGGAACGACGATAATTTTGTTGTATTAAGCAAAAGTGACCTGTCCAGTATTCCTAGTGAAGTACTATGCATGGACTTTGTTTGCAAGCCAGTCCTTTGAATTTATAGCAAAGTTGGTTGTAAGGATGACCTTGGAAAGGTAATCAGACACAGAGCAGGTATAGTCAGTGGGACCATATTCACTGACAGTGTTATCAACTGATTCAGAGGAGTTCTCCCAGAAATATTTGAATTCAAGACAGTTAGCACACGACACATAAATAACATTTGACACTTTAGTGCCTTTTAGGAATACCTGTGACTGAAGTCAATCATGTATTTTTCATGATGTGGCCGTGTTACTAGATCAGAGTGAAGGAAAACTGGATTCTGATATTTAAATATAGAATTGAAAAAATAAATAAAAGAACAATTAATAAGCATTTTTGTATGTTTTTCTTTCCTGATGGAAGCGATGAAAATGTATCCTCACTCTATGACAATCAGTCCTTACTTGCATAAAGGGTTCTTTTGGCTTTTAGAATGAAGTCACACTATTTAGAAGTGTAAAGTGGCAGTTTAATAGTTCAGACAGTGTGTGACAACAAGGTATGGGAAAGAGTGTTGGAGCCCACTGATTCTATAACTACTGTGACCAACTGCAAAGTACACAGACAAGAATCCTGGCCCCTCTGCTAGTCACTATACAGAACATAAAATCAGTCAGAATTTCACATGGATTTCAGGTCTCATTCAAATAACACGAGGTAGCAATGTCTAATTCTCCCGTAACTTTGCATAGGGACCCTACTGAATTATCAGCTTATATAAATCTTCATAGTTCCTTTTGGCTTTATAGGCTGCTTCATTAGTTCTAGTAGACTTAATTGAATTATTCTTGATTTATACCACTATAATAAGAATGGGGCTGTCAAATATCTCTGGAGTTTTCCTGTTTTATTTATCTGAATATATCTAAACAGCATTTAAAACTGCTAAATGCTGCTTTTTTCAATTAAAAAATGAAGAGGACGAAACACATTTCTCTTATTTTTTCAGATTTCTGAACTTAAAGGGAAGACTTGTAGACCATTCAGTTTAACTGCACTGGTTACCTAGCTAACACAAGCCACAAAACTTCATTGGGATCTGACCTACTCTGAATAACATGGTAAGTCACATACTTGCAGTGCTGTATTGGGAATTCCTCTCTGTTTGCATTGTGTGTCAAACTCCTACTGACTGGATGAAAGCTAAGAAAACAGTGAAAAGGCTGCCACTACAACCCTGTTTATTGTTTCCTTTTGTAGCATTAGAACGTTGGAGAGTGAACTGTGTGCTTGTTCATTTTCAAAGTAACATTGGAGTTGTTTATGTGTTTTACCATTTATTACTCATTGAAGAAAACAAAAATCTGTGTAAGCAGGTAATATTCCCTACTTGTACTCCAGTCAAAATAAACAAACACTGGATCAGCTCAAACTATATCCCCTTCCTTGGATTTACTAGTACTGTTATAGGTTTTGACACTTCCTCATAGGCTTCCCATCCTCTTTAGCGCTCTCTGCCCCTGCAGGTAAGTCACTCTCACTTATCTGTCCGGTTAGGGCACCCGCTGGCATACTCTGAGTCTATTTAAAGTCCCAGACACTGTCAGCCTGTTACGTGCTGTTCCAGTTCAGGTCAGACTTTGAGACAAGATGACAAGTAAGAGTGATACACTGAAAGCTGTAAGAGGCAACATGTTCTGAACAAAAAGATGCTGCTTAGACCCCCTCCTGTGGATGTAGCATCTCCTTCTTTCTTCCCCAATTAAAGAGAAGGGAGAAGACTCCAAACATTTGTAGGTGCTTTTGGCTGCTAACCAGGAATGGTTTTGTATTCACTGTGGCATACAAAGCTGCAGTTACAAAGTGGGGCACAGTAGCTAGAAATTACTCATGCACGTCATTTCCTTGCAGGAACTGTACAGGAGCTGGGTAAAGTTTGGACTAGTATCACTTGGTAACTGTTGATGTAAGCTACAGTGCATATTTCAGAGTAAATAATTGAAAATTTTTGTGTCTTTTCATAAATGGAAAGGTAAAGCCCTCCCCTAACAAGAAAAAGTATAGAAGTTCAGGCTCTGGAGCTGTGGGCATTCAAACCTGCTCAGGTGTTCTATTCAAAGAATTTTCTGTTAGTATAGTCTGTACCTTTCCAGAGATACTCAGTCTTCTTTCAACAGCCTGCCTCCTACTGGAGACAGTTTTCTGAGGCTTCCCAACAAAGGCTGCCTTATTTTCGTGACAGTTTCTACAGCACAGAAACATGTGAGTTTCAGAGGCAGCAGCTAGTAGCTCCCTCTCCTTCCTCTGTCCTTGTTTCCTTCCAACTGGTGGATACGGATTCTTTTTAGAGAAGTTTACTGTGTAAGAGGGAAAAATTTGAATAATCACCTTGTTCCTCCCACTGGAAGATTCTTAAGAGAGGCTATCTGTTCCTCACCGTTCTTTTTCTCACCTCAGTTCCTGTAAAATGCTTGCTACAGTCCCAATGAACAGGCTTTCACTCTAGTGCTTTACTGGTTTAAAAAAATCAGAAATCAGTATGTTTGTTTCACACTATATCTGACCAAGTATCTGCTTATACAGTCTGTGACCAGGATGAAAAACATTTCAATGAATTCTCTCATGTGCTGCTTTTGTGTGTGATGAAAGAGAAAGAAAAAAACGGGATGGGAAATGTTAAACTCGGGTAAATTTCCTATACATAGCATATCGCCTTTTGCATGAAGAATTCTGAATTCTTTAAAACTCTTAAACAACACTTTTTATCAGTGTACTACATGGATACCATTCTTTTCCTACATAGCAAAGCTTTTTTGACTTTCCCTGATGATCATAGCAGCTCACTGGAGCTGCTGGAATCCAGAATATAACCCAGGGATCTAACACCAAGTGCACAAAGCACAGTAATTACCACTAGGTTTTAAAAAATTATAACAAAATACATTCATCAGGCAAACATACCATTAATGATAACTACTAAAATAATAATTTCTTCAACTGAATAATGAGCCATATGTAATATATAACAAAAAAAATCTTTTTTAAGTAAGGGACTGGTTTTTTATTTGATTTTTATTCTAATTTTAAATCTGCATCTATTAGGGGCTACAGCAAGCTGTTCTGGTTTTAGATTATTGCAATCTTTCTTAGGCACCATACCTCATACAGCTGCAAACAAACAGCATCTATGAATCCAACCTGCATGCTGGGAATTTTATTTTTCTTCTCTCTGTTCATTAGATCCTGCACAAAAGAAGTAAACAAGCTCTGTGTTTAAATGTGTTAAATAAAAAACCCAACCAATACCAAAGAGACAGGCTGGAATTAAAAAGCAGCACCTTGAAAAGCACAGCAGGTTCAGCACAGCAGGGTATCAATACATGTGTTACAATGCAGGTAATTTGACTGCATAACTTGCCTTAGGAGATTGTCTTTGGACTGACAGAGCCCAAACAGCTAGACAAATAGACAAGCTTACTGTTTTTGGATAGGTTGCAAATAGGTACCAATTTAGGAATCTATTTCCAATTTAGGAATGTATTTCCTAGACAATTTAGTAATACCGATTTAGAAGAAATAATGCTGTCTGTTCTTCCGGCTCAGAGATAATGACACACTGTTGGTGTCTGGGAACCGCAGAAGACAACTGACTACTAGGAGGACAGGGAAGGAGTTGGTCCTGTATTCTGCTCAGTGGAAGAAATTGTGGCTTTTGAAAGGAACGTGAAGTGCTGTTTGTAGAAGCCATTTAGAAAGAGGTGATTCCACACAATACTGCCACTTACTGTTGGTTCTATGTTGAGTTCCTTCCGCTCTTTATCTCCTTGATCAAAGAACTCGGTAGCTACAAGCTCAGCAATCTGTAAGAGATTTCACACATTGAGAGCTCTAAAGTTTGCCTGCTACCTACAATCAAAACTGTTTCCTGTGTTTCCTGTCTCTCCTTAGGATATATCGAACTGGGACCCCCCATAATGACACTCTCCAGCTTAACAGCTAGCTTTTAGAATTCTTCATGCACACATCTGTGCATAAACAAAACACCTGCGTGTGCTGATATTTACTCTCACAAAGCAAAGTGAATAAAATGGCACACAGGCATCTTACCACTGATAACAGCTGGAATGATCAACACATAGAAAAAGGTCGGGTGATACTAGTGTGTTGACTGCCTTGTAGTAACTCAGAAATGTTGGAAAGAACAAAGATACCTGATTTACCTTCAGATTACTGCTAACATGGTGACATAGCTAAATGCACTGATCTTGCTACAAAGACCTGAGAAAGTCTTCAGTCCACGTACAGCACTTTGAAGGACTGCTTCCTAAGGCTGTGCGTTCCACCATTGCCTTTGCAATAAGGCCTGGATGGGGGAAGCAGAAGCTGTTATGTGGAGTTTGTATTTGGCAAATCTTAAAATTAAGCATATACCCGTTGCTGAACTGGCCATGGTTTGGTTATGGCTGATAAATCACAAGCAGTCATCAGCATTGCTCTGTAGAAAAAACAGAAAGAAATCTATGAATTACTGTATTGTGAAATGTATGTAGCCACCAAGTCAAGTGATTAGTAAAATAGAATATAAAATTCCAAGGAACATCAAAGTCAGAAAAACAAGTGAAATTAAAGCAAAGTTATAAAGGTATCTAAGGCTTGATGATGTGGTAGACTTTCACCTGTGTGAAATGAGCACACAGAAATGAGCAAATCTGGACTGGCTCATTTGGTGGATTCACGTCAAATGAACTGTTTCATTCTATTTGCTACTGGACAGACAGCACATGTATTTATTTATGACATTAGCAGTGACTGCCATCTTTATTGACATATATATGAGGGCCAAGGACTGAAATAGGAATAGACATAGAACGTGACTACATTGGACTGGTTTTTAAAGGCACTGAATTTGAACTATGGCATCCTTCTTTTCTGAGACAGCTTATGTAAGCCTGCTTTTCTGTAGCTGTGCATTACAATATGTGTCTCTATTCTTAATCTTCTTTCTTCTTCACTGCCAGTAAGCAATCAGCTTCAAAACAAACTGCCTGTTCTGAGTCTTTACTTACTGCTTTCAGCAATTCAATATTTAAGTAGAAAGTATCAACAGCAAAAGAACATGGTACCTAGAGAGGAACCCGAAACTCTTTAGGAAGAACAGAAATGCTCATGTAACTCCACGTGCTACTTAACAAATATAAGGTTGCAGACTTAGTAATTCAGACGCAGGGAGTCATTCAGTGACCTATATGCCAGTGCCAGTTTGCACAGGCCCAGAGCACACAGATCTGCAGGTTTTAATGAAATTCACATCAACATGGCATGGAAAATTGGGTACCTGATAACATTAACTGGCTTCTTAATCATTCTGCTTTTACTTACAAAAATAGCTCCTTCTGTGTAGGATCTTCCCAATTAAATTGCTTCTTCCTTAGAAGTTCAAAAAATTCTCCTCTCCTCCTTTAAAAGAAGTTAAAACAACAGATTTTGCAGCATGCTGACACGATCCAAACATCCAGCAATGACTATCCAGGCAAACTTGCCTCTGAACTTACTTTATGTATAGTGCTAGGTCTGTGGCAAGAATGGCTTGTTTTATCATTTTCAGTGTGGCCTTGTATTCTTCAATGGAAAGGCTGCTGAGAATCTGATTTCCCTTTACAAAAAACGAAAACCAGTGTTATCAGTAAAATGGGCAACAGCACACCAGTTTGCTAAAATGTCTCTTAGATACTAAATCATTAGGAGCTGCTTGCTGATAGCTGATGTCATTCTTTTACCCTGCTTCCTTTTGCAGACTGCCCAATTTAAAAATAAAAATTCCAGTCTTCTTGAGTAATGGCAGAAAGCCGCATAGCAACAGCATCATAATCGACTATTACAAAATGAAACTGCAAGCAGAGCAACATTAAAGCCTTTAAGTCCATTTCATTCATCAAAATTAAATTTGCCACTAGTTGTATCGTAGCATTTCTCTTTCCTCTTCCCCCTCCTCCCTGAAGCAGAGGAACTATAATAGATTCCAGTACCTGCCTACACATCTCACATAAATGAAAATATTTCCTTTTATGAAGCAACATAAATAACAAGCTATTACATAGAAATATAAGCTCAGCAGCCCACTGTTAAACCAAAGCACTGTGCAGCTGGTGAAATGGCAACTTGCCTCCACTTTTTTCCATATTTTCCTGTCTGAATAGGAAAGAATCATTACAATACAAAGGATGCTGAAGTACCATACCTGTGATACAAAATAAGCGGTGAAAATACATTGCTTTGAAATGATTGTGCATGCTGAATAACTGGTCTTAGAATTAGTTCATAATAGAAAACAAGAAGAATGTGATTTTATTTGCATATTTACTTAACTTCGGTTTGGCTTCACTTTGGAATGTCAACCTTAGCAGTGTTTGGTTTGGTCTCGTCAGGACTGCTTTGTGTATGTGTAGGCCAGAATGTTTTTTGAAATGAGAGCAAGGACTTGGGTTTGTTTGGTGGTTCATAAGAGGTCATGAAAATGGCAACAAAGCCTTTTGTTTCCTTTGGTCCATGGAAGCAGGTACTCAAAAGGCTATTTGCAAGGCTTCCCTTATCAGGCAACGCTTGGAAAGGTTCGGTGGCACTCAGCAATGGAATTGTGATTTCAAAACTGCTGCATTTGCTTTCTTTACCCAAAAAGGAATAAAGATCACTTAGGAATGTATAAGGGTGGGAGTCTATCCAAAAGCTAAAAATAAAAAGTAAAATAGGGAACAGTTTCCTTCAGCATACACGAAAATGTGGCACTCACTGGACTATTCAGGATCATAAGGCATTGATCAAAATGATGATGCTCCATGATTGAGTGGCAATACAGTTGAGCCAGTGGATGTTCGCTTCTGAGGAGTAAAAAGACCCATCAGATGGAGGAATCAAATTAAACATACTACTAATCCAGAAATAACTTCCCTTTTAATGTCCTCTTCTCATTATCGGTTTACTCCCACCCACCCATGCTTGTTCTTAACCAGTTCCTTACCCCTTCTGTGTAACTGGCCAAACAAAATGCAGGAAGGAGATGCAGGGGGAGTACAGATAAAAAGACAACGCTGTTACTTTATCAGAGCACTGACAACTATAGTTTTCTGCTTTCTGTTACCTGTAGAGACCAGCTGCACACAAGGAGTGAGAATGTAACACAAAGTTTTATAAAGAGTGAAAGTTCTTGCATGAAAAGGAAAGGCAACAAGAAGGGTTCTTTCACAAGCAAAATTTAAGTGACAGTTTTGGCTTTTGTAACATTTTAAACACCTGCCTGGCATATTTAGTCAGCTCAACTACTGAGCTTGTAAGTAATAATGCAGACCTAATTGGAAACTCACTGATACCAATGGAAAAATTACTGCTGACCTCAGTGGACCCTGGTGCGGGGCCCAAAATGTTGATCAAATTTCCCCCTCTTCCTCATTGCATAATACAGTTCTTAGCTTTTGCTACTGTATCTTCATTTTCAGCCCCTGGTCCCCCGTTGCTTATGTCATTTCTTCAACTAAATCAGGATTCTTTTGGAATTCTGTTTTGCTGCTGATCCTGAATCTATTACTCTAATTATAATCTGACCTGCAAATGTTTAATCATGTAAGAAATTCCTTTTTAGCATATCGTTCCATGGGACTTTTTGTATGGTTAAGGATCATTCACATGAATTAGTGGTTGCAGGACTGGGTCCCTATGTAAGTGAATGCACACAGAGACTCAAATAAAAGTCATAAGAGGGGACTCCAGGGATTTAAGAAGCAGAAAAATGTGGAGAGATAGATGGAAAGACAAACAAAAATGCGGAAAGGGAGATTAAAGGATGCAAGCCCCTGAGGATTATGGGCTGGCTGCCCAGCACCTCCTCTGAGACCACTGCAAAAGGAGTATAGAGCAAAGACGCTTGCGTGTTTCTGTAAGGAAAAAAATTGTAGGATGGTGCCAACACATGCTGGGTGAAATTCCCATTGAGTTAAGTGGGATTCATACTGTGTCCCCTAAAGTTCATCCTGACTGAAGAGAGAAATATGTGAGAAATATCTTAGGTTATCTTCCCAAGTACTGCATCAAACTGGAGCTTGCTCAGTATTTAAAGACCCTGGCTGTCTGGGAAGACACAAGTGCTGGAAATAAACTCAGGTCCTACTTCTGTAGTACATAGCATTTCTGTTAAACCACCACCACACCAGGCCAAAGGACACCACTGCTTTCTGAACACAGTGGTTTGGTTATGCAGTCTTCATATTCTGTGCTTGCCTACTTTACGTGTGGGTTTGGAAGAAAAAGAAAATAAAACCCCTGCGTATCTACCAAAAGACCTTTAAGCAGTTCATTTCCTGTAATTTCTACTACCAGGACCGTTTTAATGTTTGAAACCCTGTTGCTTAAGAAAATAATCGTATGCTAAGTATCCAGTCTCCCTGCTTCCAAGGAAGAAACAAAACAGATCCATTCCTGGAAAAAATAACTTTTCGTTTAGATTTAGAAGAGGGATTTAAAAACAAAATTCGTGGAACTTTCTGTTGAAAGAGAATTATTAAGCTGTAATCATCTCTGCTTTACAGCATACGCGAATGTTAGATTTTGCTGTCTATGACACTTTCCCAGGACATTTTTGAGAGGAGATGACGCATCTCCAGATGTCTTCCAGGAAATTTATTTTTAAATAAATAAAGCAAAAAATAGCTAACTGGTTCCAATCACTGCAAGGCTACAGTTACTGTTGGAATCCCCTATTAGGGAACTAGAAAAAGGTTACTCTTCCAATTTTGTGGGGTTTGGGGTTTTGTTTTTGTTTTTGTTTTTTTGCTTTACGCATCAGTCTTAGTGTTATTCTGAGCATATATCCGAAAGGCAGGAATTCTGCTTCAGCTTACTTATTTTCTGCCTTTCAGTATTCTCTGCCTCAAACAAACTTTTCCTCCCCTAGTATCTTACTTTACACACAGCGAGAACAGCAGACCACTTCTTCCAAAGGTAGCTTCAAAACCACTCTCCAGTTCTGCCAGAAAAAGATACTAGTATACATTTCTGGGTATCTTTTCCCCGTCTCTGGTCAGATCAGGACACATTGCCAAATCACAGTAATCACATTACACCATGTTTTAAGTCAAGCTGTTTATTTAATCGAAGAATCATATACTGTTACTTCAAGTGAATACTAAATTCACTGAAAAACACATTTTGGGCAGATCTGAAACTATTAATGAATTCTAAAAAAAAAAAAAGTATTTTTAGTTAAAATGGAGAAAATTTTAGAAGAGTTCAGATGCTTCATTTTGATAACTTCAATGTGAAATATTTTGTTTAGTAAAAAGTTTTGTTTCAAGGTTTTAAAACATATTTTGACTTTTTGCATTGTAAAGGTTTTTCTGTAATTCCAGAATTGATCAAAGTTGAAGAGTAAAGGTAACCTCAAATCAATGCAAATAGATTTTTAATGTGATTTATCGTATCCAAATCAACTTAGAATTCTGGGAAAACATGGCTAAATCATGAGTAAAACAATCAGAGTTCAAAATGGTAGGGAGACACCTTTGTATCAGATGGCTGCAGACCTCAGCTCTGTGCTGGCCCAGACTGGACGGGGAACAGCTGGTTGGGCAGGGAGCAATCTGAAAAGCTGCACGTTTCCTACCCGCTGTCCCTGAGAAGCTGGGACCTCTTGCCGTCACTGTATGGGAAATGGGGGATGGGACATCCGGAACAGGAGTAGGAAGACGCTGCCCCTGCACAGTCTGCAAAGAGTTTACTACTTCTGCCATCGTAGTTAGTCAACAGCTGAGGTTGTGCATCTTTGCTTTGGACTCTTGAATGTTTCTGGCTGTTCTTGCTCTTACTGCTTTGTAAAAGCCTGCTCCTTTGCACAGCCTCACAGCATTAAATCAATTAGGTTGTACTTAATTTAACTCTGTGATTTTGGTATTCATTTGTTTTTATTGAACCTCTCTCAGACTTGCTTACCTTTGTATGTAAGAGTTGTTCACTCCCCTGTGATCCAAATCATGACTTAGAGTTGCTATCAGCAAAGCCAGTGTTTCTAAGTCAGTCAGTTTGCTCTATATGTAAAGAGTAATACAAGAAGTGAGTTAGCTTTGTGATGGGGATTTATTTTGCACAATGTGTTTTATATCTGCTGTCTTGTCTTTACCCACATAGCAGATACAGTTCTGGCCCAAGGAGGACAAGGACGTAAAGTGGTATGCTGAGAATAAGGGTTATCTCTGAAGCTGTGGTGCACAGTAATAACCATTCTTCGTAGGCCTCAATGCAGTTTTCAGAGGGAACATCATCTAGCTCTATATATACTGATGAGAAAACTGATACAGAAGTGACTTGTGTAATGTCACCTGGCAGCGAAGAGAGAGCATGAGGAATTTTTTTAAATACTGGCCCCGTGACTCTTAGCTCAGCTCCTCTATTACCTCAACGGAATTAGACTACATTCCCTAAGTAGGTATAAAAATTCATTATACAATTGTCCTTGGAATAATCAGAAGGGAAAAACGTCATGCTTTTCATTGATCACTGGGCAGATAAATTAACAGAAGTTTAAAACCCATGGAAAACAAAATTAACCAATATCTGACTCATTATTAAAGACTTTATTCTGGAGCTCCAACAAGGATTAGCGGAGAGGTTACAGTTTTTCTTTTGTGACTATTTTGTATCTTTAATATTGTTCCATAGAATTCGATAGAAAATGTATTTAAATCTGTCCAGTGAGAAACAGAGGCTGGTCAAAGTTACAGTATTCATGCAGCATTTCGTAATGGGACAAGAATAGCAGGCACAACAGTCAGGACAGGAATTTGAAGAACAGCTAGTGACAGCACTGCCACTGGGAGGCTGTATCTTCTGTGCAATCAAATCCAAATTTTCTTTAAACAGTTACAACTTCGGTAGATTTGGATCTGCTTTCTAGATAATGAAACCTGGCCTTAGTCTAGTCAAAAGACAAATCAGTTTGGAAATGAGTGATTTTATGTTTCTCCTAGGAAGATCTGTCCCCCAGTGCTTTTCCTCTCAAACTAGAGAAAATTGAGAGACTTAATGTTCAATGCCGTTCTCACTCCAGAATCTAGGACATGAAAATCAATGTGGAGTGAATCCAATGCAGTTAGGAATAAAACAATTTATGGAAATTGCAGTGGAGACTGACAGGATTCCAGAAATAGCAAGCAAGCTATCAGGATCATCAGAGATTGCTAGACTGCACACAGAGCGAAATGACCATGTTCAGTTCAGTATAGAACGAATATGAAAGCCCTTGCCTTTGTCTCTTCCAGCACCTTCCTCTCAAACTAGAGAAAATTGAGAGACTTAATGTTCAATGCCGTTCTCACTCCAGAATCTAGGACATGAAAATCAATGTGGAGTGAATCCAATGCAGTTAGGAATAAAACAATTTATGGAAATTGCAGTGGAGACTGACAGGATTCCAGAAATAGCAAGCAAGCTATCAGGATCATCAGAGATTGCTAGACTGCACACAGAGCGAAATGACCATGTTCAGTTCAGTATAGAACGAATATGAAAGCCCTTGCCCTTTTCTCTTCCCGCCCCTTTTGTTTTTTTTTTTTTTTTTTTTTTTTTTGCAAGACAAAGTTTGTAGAGGAAGGGAATGCCTCTTCATTATTCGTATTGGGTTTTGGTCTACAAATAGGATTTATTTATTCTCACAGAAGTGCTTACTGTAAAATAGTATAAACCAACTAATAACAATTGTCTGTAATCAAACTGAAGAAACACGTTAATTCATAATGAACAGAAACATTTTGTTTTCTTCAAGAATATAAAAGCAAAACCTAAAAACATACTTTGGAAAAATCTTGAATCAATATCTTTCTTACTTGGGGGATCATCTAGCCCTTCAGTATTTGTGGTAAAGACTGATTAGGTTGTTTTTTAAACTATTATGTGTCTTTTAAGAGGAAGGTTGAAACATTGTCCAAAAGCATGGAAATGAGCATTTAAATCTTCATTTCCAATAAATGTTCTATTGTTTGTCTAAACCTGTACTCAGCTCTGTGTTTGAACTTAAAAAATTTCCTGTTGAATATTATAAGGAAACATCCTGAAATAGGGTCAGTCCTTTTCTTCTCCACCTTTTTGACTTGCTTGTAGCTTATGCATTACCTTTAAAAAAGGACACAATCCTGTACGTGCCTTATTTGAGATATTCCCATTGGGACCACCCACTTGATCATTTCCAGAAGATTTAACTGAAACTGGGTACATAACAACATGACAACAATTTCACAAACCAAGCCCTTAAAGCCAGAAGTCTGCAGCAGAAATATTTTGATTTCACTAGCAATACCATGGAATGATGAACATCTTACTGACATGACAATCAGAACTATGCGTCATTATAGAATTTGCCTAGCCAGAAGATTCTTAATGTAGAAACAGAAAAATGTACCTGAATTTTACCAGACTTTAAAGCAGCAAACATGCACTGTGCTGTATTAAAGGCATGTCTCCAATTGTGATAAGCAACATTTTTCCGATAATTTTTCTTTACACTTAAAATCCATCTGCAGAGAACCTGTGAGAAACAGCAGCACAAAGTTAACTGCAAGTGTATTAGAAATCTATTATTTTTATCAAAACAAATCTTTCTCTAATCCCACTGGAAAACTGTCTTACAGTCTTACAAACAAATTCCTTTTAACTCAATTAAGTTCAAATATAACATCCTTGTAACTGTGAACATAGATAAGAATATGCTTACAGCCACTAGTTCAGCCTCTCATTGAGTACATAATACTTGTGGGTTTGGGTTTTTAGTACTGATGGCTAAATGTTAGTGTCAGATGCACTGCTGTTAAGTCAGAAACTGAGTTATGTCAAGCTAACTGGGAGAAAAAAATCCTTGTTTGTAATGACATATTTGATACAGATTTTTTTTTTTTAATTACAGAGTTCTCTTAAGAGCTGTTTTGATAATGAACATGTGGCTTTTCCCTCATATCAGCTTGTCAAAAGACAAGCGGAATTGGACTTTGGAAAGCAAATAAGTATGATAGAAAGGCAGTGATTACTATATTGCTGGGTAGTATTTTTTTATGCAGGAAGAAAGTATTGTCCTGGATGTTTTACACAACAGTATTACAAGTTGTGGGTTATACTTTACTTCTTAAGAAAGTGAAAAGTATGAAGGTCAGATAATAATTTGATGTGTACTAGAATAGGTCCCTTGGTTTTAATGGATACAGCATACTGCTCTGTTAAATGCTGTTTGAGAATCTAGGCCTTGGTTTGTTCAAGAAAATTTTTAATGTTCGTAGTGAAAGATGTTGTACTGACGGAAATGAAAATCCAATATCATTCACCCACATAAACAATTCCACACAAAAGCAGCAGTATTCTCTGCCTTTCCACTGTTAAAAAAGGAGTGCTAGGCTACTGCCAGTTTTCTTTGGCTCTAGTATGGAAAGTTGACAGCACAGCTTCAAAGCTGTCAACATTCTCTTGCTTCTGTTGAGATGTGTAATTATGTGTCTGTTGTCATGGTGTTATTTTGGTTTTGCAAATCCATTGTAATTGTTCCACTAGGAACTAGAAGCCCACCCGTTACTGGGCTACCTGACTCCCTCTCTTCTTTTGGGACATAGCCCTTAAGGAAGTACAAGTTCTTGGCCTTACTACAAAGGTGAAACTAAGTACTGGGATATTCAAGAGTTCAGACTAGGCAATACTGTACTCCTTTGGGCCCTTAAACACTACTAATCTAAACTGGTCTATAAGCTGGTCATCTAGAAAATAAATACCCGATTTCTTTTACTAATTTGTTTGCCTATGAAGTCCTCCAAATTAATCTCGCATTTTGATACTGAACTTTGGAAGTTTTGTTGAAAAATATATAAAGCAAAAATAAAATATTTAAAAATGAAGGTTTTTACAAATAGAGATAGTGTGTATTGACTGGAAGAGCCTAAGAGATTATCTAGTCTACCTCCAGGGCCAGGAGCAAAACAAGAGTACCTGTCTAGATCACCTCTGACAGATGCATATCTACAACTAGATATATTGGTAAAAACCTTCAGGGAAATTTCCACAGCCCACATGAATAATCTGTTTCAGTCTTTCCTATCTCCGTGACTATAAAGTTCCCTCTAATCTCTAATCTAATCTTTTGGGGGGGAAATACTAAGTTAATTACTTTTACTACCTTATATGGACATAGAGAACGATATTACTGTCCTCTTTATAGCAGTCTTTCACTTACTGAAAAGTTCCTATCATCTCCCTCCTCAATATTCTGTTTTCTGGAGAAAACCAGCTTAATTCATTCAAACTATGCTCAGTCTCCTAAATTGTTGTGTTTGTTTGGGGTTTTTTTAATTAATTTGTATCTCTGTGTGTCTCTTCAAATATGAGCTACAATATAATTACTCTATGGGCCTGAAATCCCACTCTGTCAGTAAAGAGTGAAATTTGCCCCTTTTTGCTACTACAGCACATTATTGACTTTTACACGGTTTCTGATACTAGTAGCTGTGAACTGTTTTTCTCTGTTACCACTAGCTATTATTTGTTTTCCATTTTTAATTTATGCATTTGACTGTTTTCATTACTCTTTATATATTTATTCTTGCTGGTTTTGAAATATTGCTTTTCATTTTCAAGCTCATGTGAACTTTAACCAAGTCCTCTGCCTCCACTCCCCAAGTTTTCTAAAAGCATTTTACAGTCCATTAACCAAATTATTAATAGTTCAGTAGAACTAAACTGAGGACAAACCCCAGTACTGCCCACTTTATATACCTTTATAGTTTGCTAACTACTCTTTAATACAGGTTTCCAATTATATTTACTGTAGGCTCATTTCACTATTCTCCTGATTTTCTAATAATTAAATTGTCTCCTTACGTGAAGCACCATTTGATAGCATTCATACCTCATGTTTCATTTGGAAATTTTGCACCAGGTTGAGGTCTGTGAACATTCGAATTGTACACAGTGTTGTTTCAAAATCTGATAGTTCAAAATCACTGAAGGTGAAGTCAGTTAGGTTGAGAGATTGTGCAGATGGTACTACAGCAGCCTAGAGAAGAATAAGAGAACACAACTTAGCACTAGGAAAGAGAAAGCATAACATAAATATCTGCTTTTTCAACAGAGTAGTGGTGAGCTACTAAATTTTACCTTCACATTATACTGAAACCTGTTCCCTAGTCTTTCTTGTATAACATTGCCTTATTTGCTTAGATTTAACACACACTTTTCTATAGATCAAGAGAATAAGGACAGGATTACCCAGTCAGTCTGTTACCTAAATCACCTAAGGCAAATTGTAACCAAGAGTATGTCTGAAATTGGGAGACTGAGAAAATAAGGCAGTGGAGTTATATGTTTGTTTTTATAGACATGCAGACATCAATATCTGTAACCGTTGACATTTTTCTAAAAATGGCGAGCAAAGAGATATCAGTAGAACAGAATTCCTAATAGAATCCACATTCAGCGCTATGGTAGTCAGAATATGTCCACAGGCACAGCTTTCTCAGGGCTAGAAACCTGAAAAATGAGGGTTCACCTGTGATCAATAATCTTTAAAACCTTTGGACAATGTTTTTGATGTAATTTGAGTACAATCATAAAACTTCAATGTGAAATTTGAAATTATAAAGTAGACAAAACCCCCCAACTCTATACTTTTTAAAATCTATAGCTTTTATTATCAGTAATATCTCCATGTATTACATCTCTATGTATTACAACTCTATTTTTTCTAGTTATAAAATTCAGAGTATAAATATTAGTTGCCCTTAAAAATACAGATGTTAAGTTTGCTAACAAAATAAATGGTAAGTCTTACACTATAGAACACAAATTAGTATCAGTTTTTTCAGTAAAATAAAAGGTGGAGTCCTCAGTGCTGATTCTTTACAGTTGTTTCACCTCAATATGAGTGTGGTTTAAAAGAAAATCAGGTAAAACTGAAATGGTGAAAGAAATAAACCTATGTGTTCATCTTCCTCTTCTAGGGGAAAACATTTCTCCAGCATGGCCTAGAAAGCTGAGACACTGAAAAGGAAGCATGTGTCATAATCTGCAGTATTATTACATGTACCGTGCAAATCAGCTCTCCCCATAACTACGTCTACCAATCTCTGTTCCATATAAGGTTGCTGTTATCTGTCCTGTGTGTCAGAATTGGAAAATCATGAAAGATTATGAAAAATAGTATTTACACAGGAAAGAAATGTCAACATTCTCACACGTTTCTTGTACTAGTAATTTTGTGTCCATAGGTTTGGATTCATGTGGTATTTCACGTATGAGCATGTGAAAGAACCACCAGGCCTCTATGTTCAGGGGAAAATAATGCAACCATTCAGGAACTCTAATGACATAATTTTGAAAAACTGCAACTGCAGTCTGGTATTTGATGAGGAAAGGGGCTGGAAGGACACGATAGGAGCTCAACAGAACACCTCACGCCTGTGTTCTGACTTCATTCATAATTTATCTTTCCCTTCCTTGATCTCCTGCCCTTGACAGCCACAACAATAAGTTTCATTTCAGCTGAGACATAAAAAACTGTATCCTATAGCTATTCAAGGTTATTTAACTGGATTAGATATTTCCTCTTTCACTTACTGAAGCCAGTAGAGCTATCTGCCCCCCATTTTACAGCATGAAAAGTTCATCAGCTATTTTAATTTCAAGTTACTGAGCTATGGTCAGCTTCTGTAAGCACTGACCAAACCACCTCTTGCTCAATTTCGCCACCTCAGGAATATTATAAAGAGCATGAAATAGTCAAGAAAAGAAAAAAATGTGCCAATTAATTGCCCTCTTTGTGTAACTGTGACTTTTTAATGACCATTGCTCACTATAGGCATTGTATTAATAGTAATTAGTGGTGAATAATTAATTACTGACTCCATTTCATTACCTGGTTAATTATAGAATATAATTTTTAAAACTTGTCTTCTATTATGACTGAAAATCCTACAGATAAAGCTCATAACTTCATTTCATACACCAAGGCATTACCTTCAAGGAAAGCCTCAAGCACAAGAATAGTGCATTCTGGCATGCAGGAATCAAGCGAACATGGTAAAAGGCCAGCATGGATGAACAGGGAATTCCCGAGTGAGCTCAAATGAAAAAATGAAGTACACAGAAGGAGGAAGTGGGGATGGGCTACCTGGGAAGAATATAGAGACATTACCAAAGTGTGCAGGGATGAAGATGGGAAAAACAAAGCTCAGCTTGAGCTGGAGCTAGTGAGGGATGGGAAGGGCAACAAAAATGGTTTCTATAAATACATTGGCAGCAAAAGGAAGGCTAAGGAAAATGTGGGACCACTGGTAACTGAGTGGCAACTGTAAACAGTTTTGCTTTGTTTCATTTACTTGGTGTGATAAAACACAGGTTGCAGACAGTATCCAAGCTCAAAGGAGATGACTGATGCAATATGACATTCTGTGGTATGTGGAAATGATGATAAAAGTGAAAAATTAGACTGCAGCCTATTACACGAGGCAGATAATGAATAGAATAGAATAGAATAGAATAGAATAGGATAGAATAGAATAGAATAGAATAGTTCCAGTTGGAAGGGACCTACAATGATCATTGAGTCCAACTGCCTGATGAAGCATCTATTTTCTGTGCTGTCAGATTATTTAGAAGCAAACCAAAGCAAATGGCAAAAAGGTACATCCAGAAATATCATTTTAATCTATTTTAGCCATGTTGATACAATGATATGAGTGCAAAATAAAAATTGATAAAATTCTGAAGCCAAGTAAATTGCCATTCATCAGCTGACCCTCAGTAGTGGAACAAAAGTTGTAGTATGCAATGTGTTAGCTTTAGCCACCAGGGAGGAGGGTCCAGTTTACAGACAGTGACTTGCTACATCCCTGTAATTTAGGCACCCGGATCGCATCTCCACACATTACATCGAAGCTGTACAATCTGAAGCCTGGAATAAACTATGAGTAACATCCATCTATCACTTCAGGCAAGGTGGTTATATTAGTTAGCTGCTCCACAGGCTGATTTCAAAACTGAGGTCTTTCTATGATGTGTTAATGGGAAGATCGTCAACACAAAGGTATCCCAGTAATGTGGTAGAGGCTGTTCTTAATTAGGGGAAAACACTACCACAAGTACTTCACAGAAGTTGTTGGAAAGTCTTTGTCAGCCCACCAAAAAAGAAAATAAAAGTTCTCTACACCTTGCTGACAGTTCAAATTGGATTGCGAGGAAAGAATCATTTGCATAAGAAAGGAACTGGCACGCTTACATATTTCCCTGAATCGGTACTTAAAATAATCACTTCCTCTGAACTGCTCTCTAGAATCACCTGTCTCTCTCCCACGACTAATAGGAGAAGCTAACGAAGTAAGCTAGCTTTCTCAACTTGGGTAGCAGTAACTTTGTCACTACTTATCCAGGACTTGGGTTAAGACTAGGAATAGGAGTACTGATGTCTTTAACATGAATGACTTGATCTTGAAACTCACTTGGCCCTATCTCTTCAAGTACTGCTACCTTTATCAATACATAGAAACAGCAAATAGTTTCAGAAAACAAATGACAGAGGTTGATAGTTGCAACATTTAATTGTGTTCTACTTCGTGAATACAGAGACAAAGGAAAAAAGGCAGGAATGATCCTGTATCTCAAAGGGTACAGGCTAACAACGCGTACTTAAAGAGCAAGATTTGTCTCTTTCCTTGTTTTAGCAATAAGGTTTTAATTGATTCAACTAAAAGACTACAGTGCAGGAGTATTAACCATGTGGATTTTTAGGGTAAGGGTCTGCAATCGCATCTGATCATAGGGTAATTAAGAAGAAAACCAAGGCTATTGTCAGTAGGTTGAAATTCTGTCTCTAAGGTTTTGCTCCTCCAATCTAAACCTTTCAGGAGTCCACAAATTAAATGTATTTGAAAGCTACAGTTTTAAATTAGAGGAACCACTTCCTGATAATTCTGTTATCACTAATTTCACTTGTGACACACTGTAGTAATTCCTGTTGCCAATGCCATGTCTCACTAATAAAGTATATATTAACTGTAATGATTCAAAGATAGTAAGTACAAGTATCAGTACCAATATTATGCTATAAAGCTCAAGTCCTGTATCTATGTTGATATACCACTGATTCTGCTGAATAACTTTGTGGCAGCATGTGTCCTAGCTAGGGGAAAGCTCTTATACTAAATTTTACATTGTGTTTAGTTACAAAATAACAGAAAGAAATACTTTTTTTTTTTTACTGCAAAGGTGTACATCTGAAAAGACAAGAGTTTCTTTAAATTTTTAGAGAAGAATGTAAACTTTTAAGGGCTAAGGAGTGCTCTATCCTCAAGGGTAAACAGCGGCTTCCAAAACTAAACTGAGTTCTGCGATGCGCACTGAAATATTTGAGGATAACTTTTGCCTCGGTCCTTTGTGAATTTGTGGTCTTTATTGCTCCTAAAACCAGTGGGGACTGCCATTAATACAGGTTCTGTCTCTCAGTTAGGGAAGATGTATGTTTTGTGGCCAATTAATGTTTTTGTCACTGAATTAGGTATCTTGTACACAAAAGCACAAAGAAGAAACCAAATTATCAATGAGGTGGTTAGATCTATACTGCTATATAAAACAGGACAGGGATCATTCTCTAGCAATGAGGCAAAATGCCACAAACTGATTTGTCTATACTACATAGTACTTGGTCCATGGTTTGCTTTGGGCTCCATGTGGTGCCCTGAAGTTCTAAGATACCCTTATTTTTAGCAGCGTTTTCTTTTTTCAGCTCAAATTATCTGAGCTAATCTGATTGGTCTGATAAACTTCAGAGTGATGGCTTCATAGCATGAAAATAAGGGTATTTGTTTTACGCCCTGGGATGTGACGTGAGGATACATAGTATATCTGAGGGTGTAAAACCTGCTCAAATAGCGCTGCGAGACTGTATGCTAGAGGAAGCCAAACCGGGTGCACTCATCCAAATCTGGTGCACTCATGCAAATGTGGAGATGGCCTGTGCTATGTGCTCTGGTATCGCCTTAGAAAGTGGGGGCTGACATGGGCCAAGATTGTGCTAGGAAGCACATGGACAGTTAAGTAGTAGAGGTGGACACTGGTTCAGTGCTATGTTTATTGTGGTTCTGTTTTATTTAGCAGTGAAGATGTAACCACAGAGATTACAATGCAAGCCCTGAAGAGAAACCCTAGAAGATGCTTTAGCATGCTGGTCTTGTCATTGCCTCTTTATTGATGAGCAACAGCGTGGTAGGACTGAGGTTCAAAATCTGTGTGACACTAACCATTCTAGAACTATCCTTAGTCTTGTGCCGTGTTCTGTGGCACCTTGCTTGTCCAGTCCAGTCCCATACTACCCAGCTTGTGGTCCCCGATGTCCACCTTCCTCTCCATCCCTCCAATTTTTTTTTGTACAGCAGGGGTGATGCCATTTCCCCAGAATGTCTGCTCCAACAGAGAGAACCGGAGAGACTAAGCACAGGCTGTGCTTTGATCTACACTTGAAATCATAGCTGTAGTTATTCCTTAGGCAGTGGTTTCTAAACACAGAATTAAACATGAGCAGAACAGGACACTGCACAGAAAAGTAACCATAAAAATAATAAAAAAAATCGTTGCATTAACAATTAAATACAGAATTTCTGTGTAAGGCCCTAAAGCTGCACCCATACTTGGGCTGCTTGAAAGGTACCAAAGATATAAAATATACAACATTCAGACTTAGCTGCAGAAAGAAGAGTTCTCAACATTTTGCTTCTGAAATATTTAATCATTGTGAGTTGATACTAACATGGCATCAGCTGTTACTGTCACTTAAACTCATGAGAAAGGCAGTTGGTGTACTTCTGGTTCTCCTGTAATTGCAGCTCTCTGGCCAACGTGTATCTCTCATTGTAGGCATTGTAAGATTTCCCTTTTATGTGATGTATTGATTCAATTCAGGAACTGATCAGTTTAAGCTTCATTGTAATTTTTATTTCTGGAAGATGTGCTTCTGCATGTTTAGGGATCACAACTGTGTAAAGGACTGCCCTTTCTTGTTCTATTAATGGAATATTTCTGAAGTAATAGTAAAAAATTCAATTACCGCTGTTACCTGCAGCTCCCTCGTTTCCTCCTCAGCAGCAGAAGCATGGTATGAGAGAACCTACAGAAAGAGAAAAGCAGCCCTTAGTACAAAGAAAAGAGCAATGTGATAAAAAGGTAATTTTCCTAAAGCAGAATTTTCAGCTTGCAGCTGCACTGCATTGCACTGCACTGCCTTTGCTGATGAAATCTAGTGCCCGTGCGGGGCCCGCACTGTTTTTAAGGGAGCTCTCTGAAAGCATATGGGGAGATGTCTGCAGCTTTCACAAATCTTCCACAGCACAGAATCTTCTTGAGATAATTAGGCCAAGAAAACATAAATAGTTTCTATAAAAGAGCAAAGAACTCTGATTTTCTCTTTGGAAAGTTTTCATGCCCCACTTTCAAAGACAAATAATACATGAAACAGCTATAATTATGAGCCTGACGTTGTTGCCATAATAATCCTTTCAGGAGTTTATTCAGACATAAAAGAAAGTTTTGCCCTAACTGAAACTTGGCAAAAAAGTCTGAAAGACAATATGTTTGTTTTAAATTAACAAAATAAGCTTATATCTTTTAGCTGTCGAGAACACAGGACATGAAAATGTTATGGAGTTTTTTTAGCAACTAGAGACTGACTTTTTTTGCAAAGAAGCCATCTTATATACTGACCTATAATCTGTCTGGACTTTCTAGATTATCTATAAAGTGTTATAGTAGGAGAGAAAATTGCTAATTTGCCATATAAACAAACAGCTCTTTTTTTTTAAAGCACTGAAATTATTTTGACAACAATTTTACCACCTTTTTATTTAACATGACTTAATACAGGTTTATTTGAGAGTTGTAACGTTTCTTTTAGAGGCTACGGGGTACATAATCCCCATTTTAGGAATTCTGCAAACATTCTGTTTACATAATGAATGTTGGGAGATCCAAAGTCTACAGATTTTTCACTTTCAGCTTCAAGCTATCACCTCTGAGTAATTCAGCTTCTCAGACTAAAGCCCTCTTCAGATATGAAACTTAACAGTAACCAATTCAAAGGCTGAGACCAAATGACGTTCATCTTGATATGGCTTGACGGAATCTGAGGAAATCACTGAAAACCTACAGCAATGCTGCTGTTACTCCACAAACCGGTTTGTCTAAAGGACTGAGCCAAAATCATCACAGAAAACCTCAGACAAGAAAAGGAAGCCCCTAATCCCCCAAACCATTTCCTCTTCCTATGCAACAGAACAAACCCGCTATGTTGCCAATGTGTAGCCTCATGTAGAGGAAAAGACGCATTCAGCTCACCACTAAATCTCACGAGTAAAGTTAAAATACAATATCAAATGAAATAGTCTGTTGGCAGATACTGAAAGAAGCAGAAAAAAATCCTGTGCAACTCAATAGGCCAAATGCTGTTCTCCTGGGGGAGAACAATTTCTGTTCAGCATCCATGCGAGTAGCTGCACTGATGTGTAGAACAGACAGGGTCTGGAGAAAATCAGGATCTGTTTTGGGCTAATTAAGGACCACCTAGATTTTGAGCTCACCTCTAATGTCACCATCTGTTTGGCCATGGCTCTTTCTACAGCTTCGTACATCTGTGTATTCTGGATCCCCAAACCACAAAAGATGACAAATGCTTCCAGGAACTGTTCATCGTTTCTGTTGAAAGCCTTGATTTTGCCCGAGTTTTCTTCCATCTTATTCACAAGCTGGCAAACCCCTATGCCAGGATACAGAAATTGAAAGTAATACAGAGAACTGCCAACATATCACTTATTGTATGGAACATCGAGAGAAAAATTAAACCTAGGACAGTTTAGCCTACAATATAAACCACCAATATACATAAAAGTGACACACAGGAGTGCTGTGGGTTTTTCGCCAAAGTTTTTTAGAGTAATTTCACTGTATTACAGAATAAATGCTAAAACATTATATATTACTTAGTAGACTCAAATGTATTAGGATTTGTAAAACAAAAAGGTAGGGCTTTACAGACTTGATTATCTTGTGAAATTCTAGGGTCGTTTTCATCCTAACTTTTATTATTAATAGTATTCTAGATTGATTTAATCCCTAAAGACAATTTGTCCTTTGGAGGCTAATTAAATTTTTGTAACCATGCCAAAAGAACATTTATGAAAGTCAGAACAGTGGTACACAGAGTCTTCACTTCCTTATTTGAGTCAGCACTGGAAATTTTTGAAAATAAGTGAACTGAACAGAGAATACCCAAGTTGAGGCTCAAAGTTTAAGTATACTCGCTGATTCTATGAGGATGTGATTGAATTCCAGCCTGCGCCAAAGACTACTCGACTCATTGAAAAGCATCTTACTGAATTCACCTTGTTAGGTTCAAACTTGTGGATAGTTGCATCTGTTTATTTTCTGTTAAGAATTTCTGGGCTTTTCTGTGCACGTGCCATTGAAAGGTCTGACAGGTAACTTCTACCAAACCTTGCTGCAGCTTAAATCCCTGACACCATTTTAAGCAGAGGGAAATTCACACATATACCTCACTTCAGTTTTAGAAAGCGGATGGCAGTTTCTGCTAAGAAATCAGAATATTAATTAAAGTAGCTGCATTGTAAGTACACATTGTCTTTGGCAAAAACTGCTTTGGGGGTGATTATTGTCTTAAGTGAGTCCAAATGTTTTCTCACTCTCATGAGTGTGAGTACGAACAGTTTTGAGCATAAAAGCTAGCATTTTCCTGGCCAACTGCAAGTAATTACCCCAGTGAAAATAACAGTTGCAAGTTAAAGATTCTGAAAAAAAAAATTACTAAATGAAAAAAGTCTTCATTTTCTCTAAATTGCTATTGCGTACCAGTTTGTATACTTTATGTATTTTATGAAGAGCATTTTGCAGCAGAAAGAGTAAAATATTAAACATGTATTTAACCAGCAAAAGAGAAGATAACTATTTAGCATGGTGTTTCCAAGACATTCTTAACAATTTTTAGGTTTTCTTGCGTCAGTAGAGCTACTCCTAATTTACACAGGATATAGGAGCAGAATCTGAATGCTTTACGCTTCATAAGGTCAGGGAGGCCAGATTTGCTCTCTGCTTATGGGTAGGGAAGAAATTATAATGAATACTATTTTACAGCAGTACCAACAGTGAACATAATCAGCAGCTACTGTAAGGTCTTGTCAGTGCTAATAATTTTTTATATGAAAGTATTTCCAGCATTTTAGTACTCCATATTTACAGACTAAAAAAGCTCATTGAGGTTTTTAATTAAAAGGAAGAAAGGTCTTTGAGAGAGCAAGCATGCATCTTCCCTGTCACAGTAGGTAGAAAAACTGAGGAAAAGAATGTAGCACACACATGCAAACTGTGTTTTTAGAAGAACATTGGCCTTACATGTAGAAGTGTTAATGTCTGGTGACAATGTTTTGTTTCCAAAATTACAAAAATTACAAAATTTCCGTCCTGTTTCCAAATTGCATTCTGTTTAGGGAACTTATTTTAGTATCAGAGTCTCCTCTAAAGAGATCAGTAAGAATATTATAACTGTAGCTGTAAACTGTTGTGGCAGGGGTTGTGGTATCTGAATATTGCAAACAGTATTCTGAACCTTAATGGAATAAGATGACTAGATACTTGAATGAGAGTAAAAATATATAATCCCAGCAAATAAGGTTTCACTAAGAACAAGATTAACTTCCCCTGGGAAAAAGAAGCTGACTAATAAAACTCTATAGGAAAATCTCATGAAACTCACTTTCAGATCTGTGTTTAGCTCTATTTATGACATTATAATTATTTCCATAGCAACTGTGATGTAATGAACACAAGATTAAGACTCTACAGTGAATAAGCCACAAAAGCAAATTAATTCTTAGAAGACACAGCATTTGGATGCACGTATATGTCTCTTAAAAAAATGAGAGAACTGCAGTAAATGTACTATGTAGTACTTAAGACTCTTTAACTGTAACCTTTTTCAAAAGCTTCTCCAAAGGATTGAGGGGTCCATACATTGCAATTAAAGAAACTCAAAAGTCTTTTATTGGGACATAGTTATAAAACCACAGAAAGATTCTGTAAAGCTTTCACCACATACCTGAAAAATGCACAATTCAAGAGAATAAAAAAGTTCTTTTCATCTTTCTTGCTAGTAAGATTTGCTTGGTTTTGCTGTGGACAGTTTTTCCCACCCCATGCCCATCTGCACACCCCACTTCCCAAATTCTGGTTTTGGGTATACTAATCTTAAAAAAATAGACTTACAATAATAGTCTTACATAGTCATAGAATCATAGAATGCTTTGGGATGGAAGGGACCTTTAAAGGCCATCTAGTCCATCCCCCCTGCAACTGGCAGGGACATCTACAACTAGATCAGGTTGCTCAGAGCCCCATCCAGCCTGGCCTTGAATGTTGCCAAGGATGGGGCATCTACCACCTCTCTGTGTGGTGCATAGTATGCTAAAGGAAGTTCTGGGTATTATCCCAAAGACAACTTCTTGACCTTGCCCTATTAAAGATCTGAACATTAGGCAGGCTGTGAAACCTTAAAAGACTTGGAAGAACATTTCCCAATGAGAATTACTCAGATTTGAAAAAACCACCTAAATGGGTGGCCTGACTGAAACTTTCAGTTTGAACTTCTACAGAAAAGAACAACAGAAAAAAACTATGTGAGATCAGATACAACTGTTTCATTAGTAGCTAACAGCATAGTGAAATGTCTCTACTTAAAGCTCAACAGTTCAATATTCATCTTCGTCTTCTAGGGCCTGGTAGAATATTTAAAGTACTAGAAGAACTCATTAAAGAAGCTGATATCAAAAGAAATTTCAGAAAACTCCATTAGGTAAAGATGATGCTTCTCTTTCTGCTTCAGGAGTTAAAAAAAAAAAAAAGATCTGTCTTCATGGAAAAGGGCCCTCATATTTACTATATACATTGGGTTATGCAGTTTTGCCATAATTGTCAAGGAAAATTATTTCAAGACCATTAAAAAACACATTCTTGGAACTCTTATCATTTACTTGCCACATTTTGTAAAGCTGAGGAAGTTGGATTCATGCTGCTATCTAGGAATCAGTATATTTTGTGTTCTGTTTGCTTGTGGAACTTACTGATGCCAGGAAAGCAGGCTGACGCTCATTCTACTCTTCATGGGACAGGGAACTCCTGGCAATTTCCAAAAGCATCACCATCCCTTTGTTTAAGGTGAATCTGAAACTCAGGGAAAGACTTAGAGCTCATTAAGTTTATTCCCTGACCAGATCCTCAAAACTATTTAGGTGTATACTCATCTTTGAGGACCCAGACCATGGCCACCTGAATATTTTTAGGATCTAGAGATAACTAGGCTTCTAAGTTTCCATAAGTATCTAGGCCTATGTGGACCTAAGTGATGTCAAATTGCTTCTGAAAATGTTACCCCAGGAAACCAGTCGTACTATGGCCACTCTTTAAAATAGAAGAAAAGCAGTTCTAGAAAAAGCAAAGGAGATGCTGCAGCAATATTTACACTGGGGTAGCTTTAGACACTTAAAACTAGTGTCTTACGATAGGACTGCAGGCCCCCTATGTAATCCACAGTTAGAAGCAGGCACCTCCAAAGGGCAATTCATAGCACCAAAACTGCACAGCAGTCAGCCTTCTAATGGACAAATCTTTCCGTAGCTGAGTCTCATTGGAGGTAACTGTCAATGTCCACAGTTCAGCTTGCCTTTCCACATGCCACCACTGTTCCCAGACAGCTCAGGCGTGAAGAGCTTATTTACTGATTTATGTCTTCTCTTCCTTTCACTGCCTTGTAAAAGATATACACAAGCAAAAGTGGTAACTGACTCTCTGAACAGGAAGCAATGTAAATAATTTTACTTACAGAAAATTTTTGAATGCAAAGAAGCTATAAAAATGGTGAAGTATCACAAGAGTGTTGTAGATAGTTGGTAACATATTAGGTAAGCAATTTACAGTCAAGGTTGCAGTGGACTTGCTAGTTGAAAACATGATAATTAAGGATCTTTTCTCCTGGGTTGAGACTCCATATTGCTGAGATTTTACTGTGGATCATAGAAATATTTCTATGAAATGTATAAAAATATTTTTTGTAAAGATACCTACCTATCACTTTATTCTTTTTCCCATTTTTTATTGGTGTACACAGCAAACTCTTTATGTGTTGACTTACATTTTCTGCATTGTCATTCTGTTAAACAAACAAAAAAATACAGTTACAATTTTAAAGACTGATGTTCAAGTGGCTGAAGTGAAAAAGCTGTAGAGCTGCAGTCTACAACTATTCTTGGCTTACATACTCCTTCAAAAAGCAACCATGTCTTCAAAGAGTTTGCACATCTTTGGCTGGACTGTATAATAAACACTGTATCTGATACAAGCTTTGATGAATAATACAGGTCATGGTGATAATCAGTAGCAGTTTACAGTGACTTGTGTAATCGTGCTAAAAATGTGCGAATTTTATAATAGGATCTCTCATTAGAAGGTACCACTTCCATGAAAATGACAACTTTGCACTAAGACAAAGTGTTCCACTCAGTGCAGCTGAAAAGAGATCAGATTCGCTTTAGGACACCCTTTTACTCTCATCAGGTGATGAGCTGTAAAAGGAACTCACCCCTCCCCTTTCCAGCATATCCCCTCACTTGCAATATGGCAATGTAAGGAACAGATGTCCTAAAACAAGAGTAACTACCTGGCATTAAGGTAACTGTGCATTTTATGGCACTAAAATTTTCATAAACTCTTTTGGTTTGTTTGAGATGCCTTGATTAATCCACCAACGCAATGATAGGGGGCTTAGTGGAGACCAAATTATGATCCAAAGAACAACAGGTAGGAAAACTACCACCACCAAGGTCAACATTCTGCAGTCTTCCAAAGACCTTTTACCATGTCTTATGCTCCAAGAGAAGGAAACTGAATTTATTTGGGGGGTGAAAGAGTGGAACAAAAGGACAGTGCATCTCTTTCAAATACGTGGTGAGAAAAGGACATAGTTCTGCTCTGACTGCTCCTGGAATAATGTGGCAGTTGCTGAGAAGTACATTTGGTCCAATCTCTAATTGCATGTGACACAAAAAAATGGGTACAAACTAATATTTCAGATCAAAAGGGGTTTTGGGTTTTTTTTTGTTTTGGGGTTTTTTTTTTACTGTTGTTGCTCTGCTCTCTGGTGCTGTGCAAGGATTGTGGACAGTTTCTGTACAGGCAAATGCACAAACACTATAATGCTTACAACTGGCAATAAGAAATGGGGTTCTTTAAAAGAAACATTAAAGGATTACATCATGCCAGATACTTTACATGACTCCAGGAACTTAAGTACTACTACTTAATAGTATCCCATTATCAAGAGGGTATATGGAATAACTCAAGAGTAGGATTTGCTGTTTTCTGAACTGTGACATACCTGTGAAATCAGCTGTAAAAAAGGATATAAGACTCGGCATCTCTCCCTAGACCTCTCCAGCAAGGGCAGCCGAGAAACACAAAGTCAAGCTTGCATGAAAATTGGTTTATGGCTACCCTGAGAAAAACCTGCTGTTTCATGGTACAGTTCAGATGCATTGAAAGTCAAACTGGACTGGATTGGAGATAAGACCACAGTGCACAGTGCTTAATAAAAATGCCTGACCCAGTATTAATGAACAGGAAGGAGATTAAGCAAAAACAGGCTTAAATGCCTTTAAGGAGTCTTGTAGATACTTGAACTTTGTCTCCACTACACTAACTTTGTTGGTTCAGGGAAGAACATGTACACGACTGCTGAAGCTTAGCATTTGGCTTCCATACTGTCCTTGTAAGTGGCCTGAACCTGAGGCAGTCAACATCACGGCTCTTCCACGAATAAACCCAAACTGCTGTTCTGCCTCATGTCACTACCTAGGTAGCTGAGGCTACCAAAGCATTTAGAAAGCACAAAGTTATTTTCATCAGGTGAGTAAGTGTGCTGTTGAATGTCCTCCAAAGAAAGAGGCAAGCCAGGGTTTCTAGGGCACTAGGTACCCCTGAATTTCCCTCATGTCAGGGTTCATCAGATTTCAAAACATTTAGTCTACAGCCCTGCCTTGACACAGCTCCTGCACAGTAGTGGAGATGCAGCCACTGTGTGTTGAAAAAACATTATCCAAAATTCCTTCTAGCAGTACTATTATTTTCTTTTTATGAGTTTCTTTTACATGCATAAGGTGTAAGTCATCTAGATTCCAGGGAAAAACGCAAAAGAACTCTAACCCTACTGACAAAGTGAAAGGCCTGTTTCAGACAAACAGTTGTTTGGATGACTCTCAAGGTATTCATTTTAAAATAAAATGTCTTCAAAATAATCACCTCTTTCTTATTGATCTAACACAGTATATCCGTCCGATTCTGTTTTTACTTCCACTCCTGCAGTTAAGATAGCTGTGGGCCCTGTACTGCAAAATGATGAGCACTCAATTCCTGTGTTGCTCAGTCCTTCATAGAAACCCGCTCCAGAACATCCATGAAACCTTTCACAGAGAAAAATGGAAGCAACACAGCTCCCCACCATGAGCATGCCAAGGGGCATCCCTTCTTTCCACTTACTGGAACTATCACATTGAACACTATTTTCTGACCTTTTCGTTGTGCATCTCAGAATAAAGAGTTTGGTAAAAAGCTATCTGCTGATCATAATTCCTCTCCCTCTTATTACCCTCTCCCTGAGCCCCTCTAGCCAACAGGCTTAAATAAAATAAGAAGAGCAGACATCTTTCTAATTTCTGCATTGACAGGAAAATACAGAATTACAAGTTTGCATTTTGTTGATGATGACTTTGAAGACAACCTGACTGTAATCTGACTCTTGCCAACTGACCTTCCCTCCTAACTCTCCAGTATCTGTGTGTTCAGTAGTAATACACCATACCACAAGCTCACACTTGATGAAGTGTGAAGCAAAAGCTCCCAAAGAAAAGTGAAGTTGTTCCTTCTCCAAAACAGCAAAGAACTTGCATCTATAACATTAATCTTTGCCAGAACAAGAAGGGAAAGGAGAGGATAAAAGGGAAGGAACTTCTGAGAGCTTCCCAACACTCACAGTAAGCTACAGAGGATTACTGTGAAAACATACAACTGTTCTTCACTTACACGTTTTCCATAGAACATATTGCAAGCTCTCCACATTGCACTGTCTATTTACTGACCAATTAATGTTAGGCTTTTTTAATAATGGCTGCAGGGATAAATCCGTCCCCTGGCCACCCGGCTCACTGTGTGAGTATTGTACCATTTCTTCACATTTTACCTTCCTTTGTGTTTGCGTAATTCTAACTGTGGCCATTAAATTAATAGAAATAATAAGGGGGGAAAAAAAGGTTTGAAAGGTAAACAAAAACATTTTCCATTTCTGAATTTCAAATCTAAGCTTATTTTACTTACTGTCCAGGGAAATCTTCTGTCTTTGCAGACATCTGGGATGTTGAGAGGCTCCATCGTATTCTTGACATACTGAGCATACATATAATTGATTTTGTTTGTATCATAGTCCCTGAAGGATACAACATTATTATTATGTGCTTAGTATGAAAATGGGTCATTTCATTATGCAAAGCATGTAATTGTAATACCTTTCCTGCATGAGGAAAGGATATAACCAATAGATATACAATGGAGTTGAGTTCAAGTCCTGTATCCTAACCCCGCTATCATCACAAAACTGCAGAGTGGATTGATTTATACATTCCATCATTTCTTTAATATTCAATAATGTTAACGCTGAACACCAAACTTAAGAAATAAACAAATCAGTACAGTTTATGCAGATGAAGGAAAAGAATGAACAACTGGGTTTATATTAAAATAAACAGAACTTTTTGAAAAAAAACTCCATTCACAAGTCTGATACAGTTGAAAATCAATACTGGATGAAATTCCCATATTCTTTAAATGGAGTGAAGCAGGTAACATTTGTGAATTTTCTGCTTCTAAGTTCTTTTCCAATTTGTTCTAAATTAAAGGCACAATCAGTTGCATGGGGATTCCATTACTGAAATAGAACTGTTTATTCCAAATCAGGACATAAAATAGCTTTACAGAATCAATCATCTCCTACTTTTGTAGCCACAATGTATTTTATTATGGCATTTCAGTTCTCTTGGAGCCTTTGCCTGCTTTGGAGGAGGACATATGTCCCAATAATAAACCTATTTCCATCAAACTCCTGTAGTTTCCCTCTGACATTTGACTTGACTTTAGTTATCCTTCTGGTGTAAGGATGTTCACAGTGCTGGAGGAGGGGAATTATTCTTTCATTATTTCACAAACTTGGTTATACAAGGCAATGACCCACAATTCTGAAAACCAGTCTGATTTGCGGTCTGATTCAGGGTCCTTGGTTACATAATAAGCCTGAAATTTTATTATGTAAAGTAATACTTCCCATCTATTCCATGTCATTATATTTTGCTATTGCCCAAAATCGTGCCCTTCAAGCTTAGCAGAAGTGCTAACTCCAATGGTTGACTCATAGTACAGTCTTTGGCATATAATTGTGCTATCTCATGAACAAGATTCAGATATGCAATTAAGCCTCCAAGATTCCTTCCCTATCAGTTATCAGAAATAATTTACTCATGGCCCATGCAAGCAGTAAATTACATTTTGAGTCCATTAACTAGTAACCATGAAAGGGATAATGAAGAGGAAGGGTAAATTCTCTTTACCATTCCCACAGTGTAGAAGAGGAAGTAAACAGGAACTTTCTCTTTCACCCTGTCATCTTACTAGCCTGTTGTACCTCTGTACTTTCTGGTTGTACATTGTCTAAAATCATAATACAGCTCAACAGTTTTTAGTCGCTCAAGCCACACACTTTGGACATAGTTTTCTAACATATGGAATTAAACTTAATATAAAAAATGTTGACTGCAAAAAAGGTCAAAGAGGTACAGAAATCTCCATTTTCTCTCTGCACACTCTATCTGTGGTAGTGCATTTGATATACAACTGTGTCTCACTCTTTTGACATTATTTGAAACAACTGTTTTTGATGACAGAGAAAGGTAATGGAGACAGTAATTTTCAAACTTCAATACAGAGGTTCAGGCTAAATTTGGAAACTATCTAATCTGGGTATTTTAATTCAACTATTTCTACAACTTTCCCTTCCTCCCAGTTGAACTTCTTAATGGTTTCTCAAAGATGACCGAAATGTAGAACTTTAGGACTTTATTCTTGCTTTAGTCAGTCATGCTCTTTGAGTCAGCTTCCCTATCTATGAAATAAGTAATGATTAAAATAATTGATTAGAACATAAATAGGATTAGTATCTACTACTGTGGATATGTCTGCTCTACAGCAGAGTAATCAACGCAGATTTCTTACAGATCAGTTTTAGTGCAACCCACTAACTTAAATTTTTACTTCTCACATTTTGTACGTTTCCATAGCTTAGCCTTGTTATACAACTATGTTCTTAGACCTAACGAAGTGAAGAGATCAGGCCCTACTCTCCTATTCTGCTTAGTGTGACCTTTTAAGGCAATAGAGTTTGTCTATGTACATTTCAGGGCAAAACCTGCTCTACAAAAATAGCAGTAATAGAGTGGAAATAGTTTCTTCAGCATTCTCCTGGGATGAACAAAAGTTTGAATTCATTGTTTTACCTCTTCAGATTTTCAGTTGACTCTTCTAATTCCTCAGATTCCATGTGAAACACACTAGAAAATGAATCCTGGAATACCGAGAGGATATTTTAATATATAGGTGTATAAGGTTGTCATAAGTTAGAATAGGCGTATTCATAAAAAGCTTGCTGCAGTTATCAAAACCTGTTCTGTAATAAAGGCAAGCGTAAAATTATTTAACTTCATTTCACATCTAGCAGCAAGTGTACAGGATCCTACCACAAAAATATCTTTTGATACAACGTTAAATATCATTGAAGTGTCTTGAATGTCTACTGATCACACTGAGAAGAAACGCCAGTATTTACAGGCTGTGCCAAATCTATCTGTCAGCACAGAACTTTATTTTAACATTCATCCAATTCTAGACCTGCTTTGCTTGGGCAAGTGAGGACATCAAAACCTTTTAAACATACCGACTGACCTCTGTGTTGCTTTTCATGCAGCTTTTTTTAACAGTTGAGAAGCCTAAATGTAGAGAGAAATTAGATTCTCTCTGTACAACAGATTAAAACTACAGACTGCAAACTAGGTGCTAGAGTTTAACTAACTGGCAAGGACAGTGTGAATATGTGAATGCAAAAATTATGTAAATTCCTCTTCTGTATTCTTGTGTGCAGGAGTGACTCTTCTAAATACAGTGAGAGATGGGATTGTGGCAGATGATCACAAGTGCTGTGTGTTATTTCTGTGCTACAGAACCTGGAAATGCTTCCTCACTTCCAGATGTTAGTACACCCCTATCTATAACAAGTAGTAAAGGTAAAACTAGCAATGCCAGTACAAGACTGAGGCATGCAACATAATATCCTGCTCCTTGTTCTGCAGCCTGTTTTCAATAGGAAGGAAATACGAGTGGGTAGATTGGAAAGGAGTTGTGCTTTGCTTCAGTGAGCCAGGATCTTGGGACAGGCCATGATTCTGTTGAGATACTCCCTGCTTAGATATACTCCAGAAATAAAAAGTGCTGTCAAAAATGATTCAGCACAGGAAGTAAAGGCCACATTGTTTTTCTCCCAGCCTTTTCCTTTTTTCCATCCTACATCAGCAGCCAAGAAAATGAGTTAGGAAAGAGTTCACCATTCAAGATCTATGCCATAGGAAAGAGCTTAGAACCATAGTTTACCAACAGGTAATGCGAAATGGCTGCATAAAATGGCAGTCTGGCCTACACAAAGACCAAAGCCTCCCAAGTCAACACCTAACCTGAGTAGATGCTGTAAAAGAAGCGGCAGAGGACAAAAAGGCGACAACATACTATGGGTTTGAAATACTATTGAGTCAGAATAGAGGGAAGCCCACACTGCTCCCAGGGAATAAGCACTTCTGCCTTTAGACAAAAAACATACTCACAGTACAATCCTCATCCACTATGAAGATGGTACACCTCTGCACTTGCATGAAGGATATTATAGTGGCGGCTATCTTCTTCAGAATTACTTCCAAAGACTGCTGCTCTTCAAAAATCAGGCTGGCAAGATCAAGAAGCACCTGGGGAAAAGGTCTTTTGTGAAATTTTGACTAATTGTGATTTAAGCAATAATTATCATTACTACTGTCTTCGATTCTTCTGTTCTTCTCTGAATCAAGGAAGTCAACATGTATATCTGTGTAAGTTTTGGCTCTCACACAGACTGCAAGGTAACAGTAAATTATAGCCAGTTTGACACTTTTGGTGGAAGAAATAAATAGCATAGTTAGCTGTCTGATGTTTTCGGTCAGAGACAGAATAGGTTTAGGCATTAACAGTTCATCAAATGAAACCTGATAAATCCAGACAACACACTGTTATTTGTCCTTAGGAAACTTAATAGTTTCCTATGGCTCACATGTGCATTCTAAAAACAGTGACTTTTACATTTTTTAAGACTTTTGAACACAGTTATTAACTGTTGTAATTCTAACACATCCTAACGAACTCATTTGGTGAAAACATCATTTAGATAGAATCTGCTGTATTTCAAAGCTGCTGCTGAAGGACTTGGCTGCTCAGATGTGCTCATATTATATTCCTTTTTTCCTCACAAGAACCACAGAGCCCATTTGAAAAGATTATCCAAATTTGTACCAATTTACAAACACTGATAGTCACTTGGAAACTCAGACCTACCAGAAAATTTTTAAAACAACTGCTTGGAGTTGTTCTCCAGAAACTTTTCATACCGTATATGGCAGACATATTCATCTGTAAAGGCCATGGCATTAATAACCCATCATTTATAAAGATGGCTGCAAAATACAGTTACATTAATCAGAAGGAAATTTACTTTTCCATCTGATCATTACTGAAAATATGGTTAGTGATATTTATAGTTGTAGCAGACTTAAAAGAGCAATCTGTATAACCTCTACCATTCTGTAGAGATAATTCTATTGGAAATTTCTGGAGTGTGTACACCTCTGGTGTATAGTATATACAGTGAGGCACAGAATAACTTCAGGCAATATCGAGTATGTTGACATGGAATTAATTTTCTGACATGTAGTTTTACCTTCTCCTAGACAGTCCCCTTCTCGCAGCCCAAGCTGGAATGTGCCCAGCTACTTCTCAGTGCAGTTAGTTAGAGCTTTATCAGAGATACACAGCGTTCAATTAGAGTAATTAAAAATAGCCAAGGAATAACTACCATATGGGAAATATCACGAGCAGGCGCTGATTACTAGCTAACCATCATAATTTCGGTATTCTTGGGACAAACCTGTTGACCATACCTGATTGCGCCTGTTCTCAAGCAAAGATGTCTCATACAATTGAGCGTTGTGAAGAACAATTCCACAAAATGCCAAATAGGCAGCAAAATCCTGAAGACAAATGAACATCAACACCTCATGAAGATAATGTCTCACAGCGTCTTAACTCTATTCAAAGATAAGCTACTGTATTTTTTTTTTTCACTTTGAAGTATTAATGGATATTTTAAAGTTATTTTTGGCAACCACATATTCAGGGTTATTTTTTTTAGTTATTCATAATTTGTTATTTCCTCAAGAATCTCGTCTCCCTTTTTTAAACTAATGATCTTCACAGTTTATCCTGGTAAAAGTAGGATTGATATAAGAAGCAGCTCAGAGGAATCAACTCATTTTGCAGCAATGCATATTTTATCTAGAAAAACTGAGTGCAGACAATCAGCCTCTCTTGGGGAATTCAGTCTCTTGGAAAGTGGAAATAAAATTCTGCTCACATAGCAAAACCACAATTTTTTTCCCTTTTGGAATGGGATTAATTCTGATCTCCTGCAGATACTCAGTATGCCTTTTGTTTTAAAGGGGAAGTTTGCAAAGGGAAAGGGTGAATTCTGATTTTTTTATTGCTGAGGGTTAAGTGAACTTCTTCAGCCTGAGAGCAGCCTGTTTTTTGCGATACCAATCTGAATGTGAAGTCTGGAAATGTTTGGGAAGCAACTGCCATGTGAGAATTAGGAATCAAGGTGCTGTCTGCTCTACTCATCTCATATCTTGTTCATAATTTATCCAAAGCTTTTTCTCATCCTGAAATTGCTACACTGAGAAGTGATACAGTATTTTAAAAAGAATCACTACACAAATTTTAATATTCAAAATATGTTTGTTGGGGATGCCAGGAGAATTAGAACCTATTAATAAAAAATGATGTCTATTAAAAGTTATGAAACTGTTTTACAATGCATTTCAGTAGAGTAAGCCTGTATTTCAGAGATGTATGAGAGATACCACGCTGATCCAGAAATTAAACTATTTCACATCCACATTTCTCATGGCCTCATAAAGAAAGAAATTTGCGGTATTACCAGGAATTTTTACTCTTCCAGAGGTGTTTAATTTTTAATAACTTTAAAATTTCTGATCAGTGTGAAAAGTAATAACATATCCATCTCCCGTTCCCCTGTGAAAATAGAAGAGACATAAATGTCCGGCTTTTATACCTTTTCATCTTGTTCAGTGAAAGTGCCACCAATTCCAGATTTCTTATTGATTGCTTGAGCCACACCAACAACCTAGTGTATTCAAAATAGAGTAATTAGATAATTTTTAGGAGTCTGTAATTAGATTCTTATTTCTAGACGTATTTATAGAAGATAATAAATTATCATTACAGGTATTCATTTGGTTGACCTTTGGATAACAGAAGATATTTAAGCCCGGTTTTTCCTAATTTATTCATATTACAGATAGCTGAGCATGAACCTGAAATGTAAAAAAAAAAATAAGTGGCATGAGTCCTGGATGCTCTTATGAAGAGGGGTTAATTTGATCCAAAATTGATTCTATAAATTGGAACAGTCATCTCCCAGAAAGACAACAACAGTTTACACTTCTGCAGTCATAAGCCAGACCACACAACAGCTCTCTCTAAAGTTCATGTGCTTGTGTGTGTAGAAAATACCCTTCCTGCTAGCTCTGACAAAATTTCCAAAACATAGCCTCTTTACTAGATCTAGAGTTTGGCTACGGTGATCTTTTTCCATTTTGTGTCTCTCTGAATCTGACCGGATTAATTGTCATCTGCCAAAAAATAGTATACAGAGGTTGTGTTCCTGCCAGACTCAAGTTTGTTACTCAAACTTAGTATGCTTTTAAAGGCAGGCTTTTACTAAGACCACATTAAATCAACACTGAGAAGAGATATGTTGTTATGCTTCAGCTGGTAGTCAGACTGTCCTTGCCAACATATGCCGATACCTCTCCATTTTTAATTATTTTCCCTATGGAGCAACGCACAAGGTAGGGAAGAATCCTGGTTTACAGGTAAAGAGCAAAGGGTAAAAAGTCATACACAGGTCCTGCAGGACATCTGCGATGGACCTAAGAAACAAACCCGTATGCCCCGATCAACATTAAAGGCTTTCCATTAAGTACTTCATTCTGCTCTTGGCACGTGGCTTAAGTCCTAGCTTTCAAATGGACTATGTATTAAGATCACCAGCCAAGAGGCTTCATAAATTAAGGCTGCCCACATAAGTAAATCAGTGCACAGATAGTAACAAGGAGGGTTTACCTGGACTAGAAAAAACCTACTATGATTTATGAAATAAAGACATCAACAGACCAGCTCCATTTACTTCCTTTGTTGGCTTGTCTCCTTTTGGATTTAAGTGGAAGAAAATGGAATCCGTGTAACAATAAACCAAACCAGATTACACATCCAGTTTTATTCTTATCAAGTTCTGTCTAAATTACGTTAAATTTCAGATGATGCTTTTTTAGTATAGAAATAATCTGTGGTAAAATTTGATTTGAGGTTTCTGGACATAATTCCATGAATTGGAAGATTAAAACATGATTTCTTACAAAACAGAAAACAGTCCCTTTAAGGACAGTCAATTAAAGTCCCCGGTACTGGTGCTTTTGTAACTTTCGACATAGTTAGCCAATAAACACGATTTCTCGATACAGGATGTTGGGTTAGATTTAAAAAGAATGTAAAATGAATGTGAGAGAACAACACAGCTGTTTAAGCATGATGCTTTTGTTACTGCCAGTCTTTGTGGAGTTCAATTCTGCATGAATTCTGCTCTCTGATGAGAGCCTCCCCAGAAACCAATCTGCCCTGCAAACAGCAGAACTTCTTATAAAAATGGAAGTGAAATTCAGGTCTTTGCTTAGTACTGATTGCAGTTCCTAATGCAGGCTCTAACTCTGACATTTGGGGAGAAATGAAATTGGGTAGTTGCTTTGGACTTACTCTTACATACTCAACACAGATGTCTTCTCTGGTAACTTGGGTCTGTTTTTCAGAGCCCAAGGAAAACAAGAGAATTTAAAGAGACCTTCATACAAGTCAGTATAAAGAGAAAGTGAGCATGTCTTAAAAAATTAATTCACTGGGATAATATTTCTGTAGATTCCCCGCTGCAGTTATCAAGCTGTGTACTAGCAGGGACCATTCCGTTCTGTAAACTAGTTTAAACTTCTTCTGGATTCTGTACTTATCCTTGTACTTCCATGCTTCTACTCTTCTGACTCATAAATTAGCCATGTAATTTCACAGCACACTAAAATTGGAAGGCTTTCAGAAGGAGAGACAGGTTAATTTCAGTTGAGATACTTCTGACTTTCAGTGTCGATAAGATGAAAATGAGAGGTTTTCTAACTCAAATATTTTGTCATTCCATTAAAAAAGGTTATTTCTTTTTATTATTATAATACACATTACTAATGCACACTCTTGTTCTCTATTAAATAAAATTGTTACTATAATAAATGTTTCTCTCTGATGCATAAACTTTTCCTAGATTATAGGATTTCAAAGCCTTAGCCTTTCCCTAATATAATTCAGTATGTTTCCACTCCTTTTGAGACTTTGCAAATTATTACTAATCTGACTTTAGGCTTAAAAGAACTGGAGAGAGTATAGTTTCCTTGATTTGTGAAGTGAAAAAAAAAAAAAATGTTCTGACAGTGAGTAATGACAGGTTTCTGTAATTGGTATCAGGAGTGGGAGTTATAAGGCGGTGAACCCAATGCTGCTTATCAGGATGGATGAGAAAGGTACCAAAGTAGATGACCTTCTGCGGAAGGTGCCAAGTGAAGGGTGGGGACAATTATGTCTGAGCCATTGCTTATATTGGTACCCAGAAATGAAGCTCACAGTTTATGGTATCTAGCTGAATAGCCACTAGCAGTACCTGGAATGGATTTGGGTTAAGGCAGAGCTGAAAGAAAGGTAGTAGTGGCAGAGCAAGAGGTAGGAGAGGGAGGCTGGAAACTGGGAGGAGCTGCAAATCATTCACTAAAACCCTGCGCTTCCTTACAGTTAGACCATTCATCTATTTAAATGGCTGGATCTTATCTTCTGCTAAAGTCAATAAATCTGCTGTGCAGTAAACTCAGAGGCTCGAATGTGCTAGCACAGACAAAGCCCACCTAGTACAATAACGTGAAACAGTACGTGGTAAGAAGCCATAAAGTATATGCAAAGCTTTTGATTCTTTTGATTGAGATCCAAGTAGTGTAAGACCAGTGCGAGGTGTTAATGATGGTGGTTTTTTCATCTTGCTTTTTTGGGATAAATAATATCAGAAGAAAACTGTGGTGTGCATGTTTAAGAAGTTGTACTTAACTGTTAATCATTAAATTTATAATTGCTAAACTGATGGAAGCATACAGTTTTATTTTTGTAATGGAAAAGACAACAATTTACTATCTCTCAGCCTAGCCTTCCCAAAATACTGATGTTACAAATAAGGTCATTGTTCTGCAGCATGAATCACTGCCAACTGTGGGCTCAAAAATGTCTGTCTGAAATAAAGCTTAACTGTCGGCTCCATTCCATACAACCCGGGTTTTCCCACAGTCAACCTCTCATTTACTTCAGTGAGGAATATTTCTTATCCAGTGAACTTTCTTACTGTAATAACAATGTACAACTAGCCTGATTTATTTCTATAGCAGAGTTTGAATAGTAAGCAAATCCTTTAACTAGTCAATATGCTTTTATGTTAACCTACATGTGCAGAGATTAATGGTTAGGCCTTTTCTCATACCACTGTGGGTATTTATTTAACTTATTTTATTTTTTTCAGTTTTGATCCAGCATGAGCTAAGACAACTTTAATGAGGTCAGAGGCTTTTTAAGGCATCCAAAAGGTGAGTACTTTTCATCTTGTGTAAACACATCCCCTCCATGAAAGGAAAGTCTGTGGTGCTTAAAAAAAGCTAGAATAAAACGGTAAAAGGACCATAGTAATATAGCAGGAAGACTATTTAGGCTCGCTTTATTAGCACTACAGGTTTCTGATACATTAACAAAGGCATGTGTTTCAAGAGAAATGGTCATTTTTAGATCTTTGTTAAGGTCTTTCAATAAAAGGTTTTAACTGAAGAGGGAGGGAGTAATGAGGAGAATAAACCTGCTAAAAATTCATGGTTGTCTTGATGATGATAAAAATCTTGTGTGGATGCAAACCTTTTTTTTGTTGTTTGTTTCAGTGGCATTCTAAGCTTTTAAAGACAACTTTGTAGTATGTACCTTTTTTTTTCTAGACAAAATAGTTTTTTAAATTAAAAACAATTAAACTGGTCCAAATTCTGGCCTCATTTTTATCAGTACAAATTCCAGTGAACTTTACTAAATTCTGTAGAATGTGGTGTAGAGACAGTAATGAGAAAAACCTCAGATGGATTTTAGCCATTGGAGTCCTGCCTGCAACTAGGTAATTAGGAGAAGATGTAGGAAACTCAAGAGGATCTGTTCCTGTTACTAAAGTAATTATGTAATTAGGACAAAAGTAAATCATGTGGTAACGTTTTAGGCCATGGAGAACATATGCCTGCATTTTAGAGAATACTAAGCACAGTATGAAACCCAAATCCTCATTTTTAAAAACTTACTATAAACAAATCTGAAATAACAATAGGCCTGATCTGTGATCTCCAGCTGGGAGTTATGTTCACACCAGCAGAAAAATTGAATCAAAGGTGACTAACTGCTCTGAGTTCAGCTATACAGAAAACTTATTCAGATAACAGGTACATTAAAAGTCTGAAATCTTTGTGGCAATAAACAAGACTTATCTGAGATAAAGCTAATTCTCTGTAAAGCTTGGAGAATATTGTAAAAAAATGACAGTCCACTCAAACACTTGCTCATGAAAGAACTGTTCCAGTCTAATAAAATGGTGGTTTTTAAGTTACTCAGGCACAATATTTTATGTGTCTTTAATTCTCTAACAGGCAGGCACCAAGTGAACTTTTTTGAAAGTTGAGTCTTGTAGCAATGAAGCAAAGATATGCATGCTTGATTTCTTGTCATTCTCCTACTATGCCTACAGCATTATCCTATATATTTCTTGGTCACCCAAGACAGAACTAATAGGAAAGAAAGGGGTTAAAAACAGCTATGAAAGGGGATGACCACTAGAAAAGCTGAAGGTAGTACTCTGGACTGAAGAAAACCAAGACTAAGGGAGAGGAAAAGACTGAAGTAATTAGTATCTGCTTCTACTTTGATACCTGTGAACTTATGGCCTAATCCCTAAAGTAACCAGTGAGCTGT